ACTGACTAGGGAGTTTAGAATCATTCTCTAATAATCCAAGGATACCGAAATATAACAAACATGCCAATCATATAACGGGAAGAGTAATGCATTCATAAATCAATGAATCAATACAAAGTCAAAATGTCCATCACAGATCATCCTAGAGCCATTACAACCAACAATCTTCCACTATACTCTATGATCTATCCTACAAGTATCTAATCCCCATACCCCTAACATGACCATCATGTTTTGACGAAGGGAGAGGCTTCGTCAATGGATCGGCAATATTATTATCTGTCGACACTCTGCTTATCTTCACGTCTCCTCTGTCGATGATTTCTCTGATCATGTGAAATCGCCTGAGTATGTGTTTGGATCTCTGGTGTGACCGGATTCCTTAGCTTGCGCAATCACACAATTGTTGTCACAGTACAACTTAATGAGATCTGCAATGCTAGGAATGACGTCCAGATCTTCCACGAATTTTCTGATCCAAACAGCTTCCTTAGCTGCATCCGATGCTGATATGTACTCGGCTTCTGTAGTCGAATCTACCACGGTTGGCTTTTTGGAACTCTTCCAACTGATAACCCCACCGTTCAGGCAGAAAATGTAACCTGACTGCGATCTGAAGTTGTTGGGTTATCTATGGGTTCCTAGCATGCGATCATATCGATATAGGATTTGGTTTACTAGGTTTCATGCAGCGGAAGAAAGATCTAAACCTAGTCAAACGTCACACGCAACCAAACTTGATAAAACCCCAAAGATCGTGTATATCACCGAGGGAATCGTTACTTACCTCGTTCTCGATGTAACTTGAAGCAAATATCGATCCGGTTAAAGACGACGTTTGACGCAGTCAAGACACGCCACTCCTCATATCAGATACTCTAGACATCTCATGTATGAGGATCCAAGAATGAACCGCTGTATGAGATTCAAGTCATGACTCTGTCCATGTGACAATCTCATGCGGATCATCCAGTCACTCATTCACAACGAGTACCCATGATTGTGACACTACAAAAAAACAACGTTTTTGCAACGAAATGATTTGCGTTGCAAACTTTGCAACGCTTTAGCAACGTTTTGCAACGAAAAAAGTTTGCAACGAAATAGCAACGAATTAACACGTTTTTTGCAACGCGTAGCAACGCAATTTATTCGTTGCAAAGTAGCAACGAAAATTGCGTTGCAAGTTGCAACGATTAGCAACGTTATTTGACGGGCGAAAATGTTGCAACGCAACGACAACGAGTAGCAACGCTTTTACAACGCATGAATTTCGTTGCTAGTAGCAACGAAAATTTCGTTGCAACGAGTAACGTTTTGCAACGCATTTGCCACGAAGTCAAATTTCGTTGCTAGGTAGCAACACAACAATTTCGTTGCTAATGATGTTAGCAACGCAAATGATTCGTGTCAGAATTGCGCTTTTTGGTAGCAACGAAATTGCATTGTAAATCTGTTTTGCAACGCAATTTCGTTGCTAACCGAGAAGTGTTGCAACGCAATTGCGTTGCAAAACGGTGAAGTCTATTAACCGGTTTTTTACTTTGCAACGCAATTTCGTTGCTACGGTTTTCGGTTAGCAACGAAATTGCGTTGCAAATAATTTTATAAAACCCTCTCTCTTCCCCTTCTTCCCCTTCAAACTTCGAAAATTCGGAGAAAAAATGACATCGAGTGGAGGTGATATTTATCACTCTAGACGATGGTTATATGAGAGAATTGATGCATCTACGGGCAGTTTAAGCATCCAGTATGAAGAGGGGTTACAGAATTTCATGCAATTTGCGACAAGTCAGAATCAATAAGAACTGATTAAATATATTGTCCGTGTGCATGATGTGAAAATTCTAAATTTCTTACTCCAGAGGTGGTTCTAAAACATCTATTCAAAAGAGGTTTTGTTCCAAATTATTATGTTTGGGTTTATCACGGTGAAACGCTCGATATT